TCTAATCAAATCTTGAGAATATTTTGGCTACTCTTCATGTTTTTTGTCTTTTTGGCACACAACCCTCCCCCAACACATACACCTTTTCTTAACTTTCTAGCATTCCAGCCACGTGGCTAATAGACCAGTTGGTGTTATTTCATGGGGTATAGAGGTGCATTTCTTTCATAGCCTTCACTCCCTGTTCAAATACTTTCTATTGCCCTGGCTTCAAGTTCTTTAACATTTTTTCTGCAGTATCTAATCTGTTGATAATCTATCTGATGAGTTTTTCTATTCAGATACTATACTTTTAGTTCTAGAAGTTTCATTATTTTTCATACTTTGTTTCTTTCCTCATTGGATTTATTAAATCACAATCAGTAAACTTCTGTAGAAGGCCAACAGTAAATATTTTAGACCTTGCAATCCATAGAGTCTCTGTCATAGCTGCTCAGTTTTGCCGTCATGACACAGAATTCGCCGGAGACAACATGTAAATGAATGCACACAGCTGTATTCTCTGAAACGTTATTTATAAAACTGGTGGTGGGCCGAATTTGGCCCATGGGGCTGAAGTTGCCAACTGCCATTTCAAAACTTTGAACAGCCCTGGCTGGTGTGGCTCAGTGGATTGGGTGTCGGCCTGCAAATCCAAAGGGTCACTGGTTTGATCCCCAGTCAGGGCACATGCCTGGGTTGTAGCCAGGTCCTCAGTAGTGGGCACATGAGAGGCAACCACACATTGATGTTTCTATCCCTCTCTTTCTCCCTCCTTTCCCCTCTCTCTAAAAATAAATAAATACATAAATAAATCTTTTTTAAAAATCCCTGGAACATATTTATATTCACTGTTTTAAAGTTCTTGTCTACTGATTGCATTGCATCTGGCATTTCTGGGTATGTTTCTTTGGACTAATACTGATTCCAGTTATGGATGACATTTTCCTGCTTCACATATCTAGTTATTTATTATTGGTTCTTGGGCATGTGGTGTTAAACAGTTGATTGTACACATTTTGTTGTCTTCCCTTATAGAGCATTCATTTTTTTGGTGGGCAGTTAAAGTTACCTGTGGGTCAACTTGACCTATTTAAGGGTTTTTAAAAATCCTGTTTGGGCCTTTCTGGAGTAGGTTTTATTCGAGGCTCTTTCTTTTTTTTTTTTTTTAAAGATTTTATTTATTTATTTTTAGAGAGGGAAGGGAGGGAGATAGATAGAGAGAGAGAGAGAGAGAAACATCAATGTGCGGTTGCTGGGAGTTAGGGCCTGCAACCCAGGAATGTACCCTGGCTGGGAATCGAACCTGGGACACTTTGGTTCCCAGCCCGCGCTCAATCCACTGAGCTACACCAGCCAGGGCTGAGGCTCTTTCTAAGGTGTTCCCGGAGTCTCTTCTCTAGCTTATTGAAGCTCAAGTGTTTCCTAGTTCTATATGAACTCCAGGAATTGTTCAGCCTACAGTTACCTGTTAATTCTCTTCCCATTGGCTGTACTTTGGCCTCTTGGAATCTCACCCTAGCATGCAATGCAGCTTTGTATGCCAGAGTTTCAAGGGGACCCTCATATTTCCCTCTTCTCTAGTATTCTGCCACACAAATTTCAAGTATTCAGCCTCCCTAAACTCAGCTGCCCTCACCTCAGCAAGACCACCGTGCTGTGCTTGGGTTCCTCCTCTTTGGGCCATGGACTTTGCTGTAGACACAAAGCCTGTATACAAATCAAGAGAGTCAGAGTCATCACAGGGTTTCCTTAGTTGTGTCCCTTCTTGCAGCAGTCACGTCCTGTACTGCCTGTGGTGCAGGGTCTGAAAAGAATTGTTCCATACGTTTTGTCCAGTTTTCTGGTTGTTTGCTGTAGGACTAAAAGTCTCTACCAGCTACTTCGTACCTGAGGCGGAAAGCCCTCTGACCCAGGCCAGGATCTCTGGCTGATGCGTACCAGTACCTGCATGCCCCCATGAGAGCTGGAACACTGTGATTTGTGTGTTTTATGGTGGTTCTGTCCAGGTAGTCTTTTCTGTTTTTACTATAGCTGTCTTTATCTCATGTTTCTTCATTTAGTGTGGTTAAAATGTGAGTCTTTCATATTTGGTACATCGGTAGTAACAGGACTTGCAGGTTTTAGAAAAATATACTTAAAGCGTAGTTCAGTATGTATAACTTCTAAAATTCTTTTAATAAAAATGATTTTTTAAGCTTTTGTTTTTTTTATGTGTGTAAACTAATATTTATTTCAGTTAAGTCAATTATATTTAGGAATCATTAGCCTGTAATGTTGAAAAGAATTTGTGAGGTTTCCCATCAGTTAACACTCTAAACTGAAATATCAAGGAACAGGCTGAATAGATTCTTGAGAATGAACAAAGGACAAGAAGCTGAGTTATTTGTGTTCATTTTGTCTGGGAATCACCACATCTGCCTCTAAGGCTGAGTAATCATGACTTATTAGTGTGGTTATGGAAAGTGTATGTCAGTTTAGTTGTATGAATGAACTGTCCTATCTTTAGGGAAAAAATTCTCATCAGATGGCTGAAAATTTCCCTTTTTAGAGTCACTTAAAATTAACTATGAATGTCTTCTGTCTTTTTGGATAATGTGTTTAATCTGATGGGTTGCATATTTTATCTACATTTTTATAATAGAAGTGCAGTTTATTCCTTTTTATCTGTCTCAGAAACCTCATTGTTTTATCTTCCAGGAGAGTTCAGCCTTGTTGTGGAGTTGAGGGGCAGGCTGTTCCTGCAGTCTGCGGGGGGCAGCTGTGGGCAGACTCTTGAATTTTTTTAATTTGTTTTACTTACTGGTATTACATTTCTCTTTTGTGTTTTCAGACAATAAAGGTGAAAGTTACACTTTAAAAAAAAACTGCATCTGATGCTTAGCTATACGTGTACAGTGAAAAAATTTTCACTGTTTATTCAGTTATTTTAAATTCCCTAAACTTTAAACTTGGGAGTTATTTTGAAGGTTACAAAATAATTATTTTTTCCCCATTTATGAAATCTCTTATGCATATAGTATTCAAAGAAACAGTTGTAGTTTTCATGGCTAATAACTTTTTTTAACCTGAATTCTCAAAAGCATTCTTCTAAGAAGCATACTATAATTATTTTAAAACTTAAACGTATACCACTTATGGATTGTTATGAAATAAAACTCAAGAAAAAGAGGAACCAACTAAAAATTCATATAGATTTTTTTGGTTCAGAAGAACCTAATAACTAAATTGAATTCAGTGCTAAGCATAGAACTTCATTTTTTGGTTTTATTTGATCAAAAATACCCATTGTATTTAGGGAAAATGTAGCTTAGATTTGTGAATATCTTTTTTCATGTTAACATGCGACAAATAATCTTGTTTTATATTGCCTTTTATCTTGATAGTGGTAGGAGCTCTGTAGTGTCTTATATTTATCACTGTATCTTATGTACTGTCTTTGAACCACAAATTCTTTAGACCACTTATTGCATGTGCATGTGTATATATGTGTGTCTGTGCATATCTAATTCTACAAATATAGTATCTTTCTTCATAACAACTGATGGCTGGTACTTTTTGAGGGCTTACTGTATGCCAAGCACTGTTCTAAGATGAATGCCTTATATGAATTTACTAATTTAAACCTTACAACATCTTGAGAATGTAAATCCTGAAGGTATTTTATTACTCCTATTTTATACATGAGCAAAGCAAGATTCAGGTTAGTGGCAGAGGCTACCACTGAAACCAGAATGTCTGGCCCTGGGAGTTATGCTTATGACCACTACTCTATAAACTTTGTCTGCAGTGTGCTTTAAAACAAATACTTATACTGTGTGTGTTAAAGCAACATGTTCAGAATGTCCAACTTTAGATCTTGCACCTCAGGAGAACTTTGGAAACTGACATTGGATTTTTATTTACATATTTGATTATATTTGGAGTTTTTTAATTTTGTAGCTGGATAGGCCATAAAATGAGTTTAATTCTTTTGCCTTGCAGGAGAGTAAACTGAGGCCCAGAGAGTTAAGTGGCTTGTCCGGGGTTGCTTATTTCCTGACCCTTAGTTTACTATATTCTCCGTGATTCCTGGGCTTAGCCTGTTAGAACCTAACCTATTTGAAACTCCGAAGGAGCTCGTGTATAACATACAGGCTCCTATACTTACCTGTTGAATCAATCTGTGCTTTGGAGTCCCAGGAATTTATATTTTTAACAAACTCCCTAGTTGAATCTTATTGCAGAAACCTCACTTTGGCATAAATGTGTATTTGGAAACCCTTGAGGTTAAGCCTTTATTGTATTATTAACCCATTTTAATCTATATGATTATTACCGATTTATAATATTTCAAAATTAAGGTACAAAGTAGCACAAGGGCTTTCATAGAAAAAATTACTATAAAAGGAAAACTCACTGATACTGGTTCCAGGGGATTTGTTTGTTTGCTTGTTTGTTTGATGTCAGTGAGAAAGATAAGTGAGGTAGTTATTTCACCAACAGTTTTTAAGGACAAAAAGTGATATTCTGAAATTATGCCTAAAAGAATAGCAGCACAGGGAATTGTTATCAAAGGAGATACAACATTCTTACAAATGAGAAATATGGATAAATCACATCAGAATGAAGCCAGCAGTCCCAGTTCCCAGGGGCTGGTGTTGAGGGCTGGGGACTGAGTACAGAGGACACAAGGGAACTTTCTGCAGTGATGGAAATGACTTGTTGCTGTTACACAGGTGGATATTTGTCAAAACTCGTGTAATCGAGGCGTAAAATAGTGACTCTTATCATATTTAAATTATCAATAAGTCTGAGGGACTTTTTTTTAAAGCAAACCAGTCAGGAGGACATACTGAGAAGGAGTTTTTCGAATTACCATCTATATCTTGAAATAATTTAGTTAAATAGATTCTTGTTCTTTAAAAGCTAGGTTTTTTCTATTAATATATAGCAACTAAGGTACCATTAAAATGGCATGTGTATTAACGATTCCCTTTTCATTAGTATTTCTAATCAGGTTTCTCTTATTTGTTTTGTAGGGTCCACACATAGCGTCAGTTACACTAGCCGCTTATGAATGCAATTCAGTTAATTTCCCCGAACCACCCTATCCTGATCAGATTATTTGTCCAGATGAAGAGGGCATCGAAGGATCCATTTCTTTGTGGAGCATCATCTCAAAAGTTAGGATCGAGGCCTGCATGTGGGTAAGATGTCCATTCTCATATTTGTCTGCAGTGAACCTGTCTGTATACTTTGTTGTACCAAGTCAGTGGCCTGCTTCCACATGCCGTATTTTGCTGTGTAAAATGTGCATTTTTTGCCCAAAGTTTTGAGGGAAAAATAAGGGTGTGTGTTATAGTAGGAATAATTCCCGATCTATATAAATGCTTTTAACTCTTTTATTTGTGCTTGTATGTTAAAAGTGTAACTCTACTAAGCAATAACGATATCCGTATGTTCAAAAACAAAATTCCTTCAGGTATCTAAATACAAATAAATAAATAATTGAATTTAAAAATTAAAATGGAAAGGTTTTTTTCCCTGAAAGTTTGGGCCAAAAACATTGGTGCACATTATACACGACAAATATGGTAAAACAAAGCTTTTAGAAGAGTGTGGGTTTGATCCCTGGTCACGGCACATGCAAAAATTAACCGATGAATGCATAAATAAGTGGAAGAACAAATTGATGTTTCTCACTGTTTCCTTCATACATGTAAAATCAATAAATTTAAAAAATATATTTTTAAGTCAGCTGACTGTATTTTTTTAAAAGCATTAAAAACCTTTTCAAGTGGTCTTTGTTCCTTAATGGCATTCAGAAGGAGGGCGTGAAGCCATAGGTATCATGATGCAATTGAAGGCAAGTGGACAGCAGCTGGGGAAGGGGGTGTGGGTGCTGTGACTGGACTGCTTTGCAGAATTTCACTGGTGTTTATGTCCTGATAAACACATAGCAGATGCTTATGTATCAGTCTCAGATTGGTCACCGTAATGTCTCTCTGCTAAATTTAAATACTCAGTGTTTATTCTTAGAGGACTCTTTTTCTTTTTGAGTTGTTATACTACTAAAGTAAGGTGGGACATTTCTTTGTAAACCAGGCTTTACTGTAGTGGACTATGTGGTTGTATGTTGTGATCTTCCTTTTAGTTGTACCAGTTACCTTTTAATGATTTGCTTAAGTACATGTTGGGAGGTTTTTGGACTATGTGTTCGATGGCAAATGCATTTTAACCCATATAAAACTTTCTCTCTTTTTTTTCTTCTATACACTTAAATTCATTCAGGTACTTGTCGTTGAGGAGTAGTTCATTTGCTCAAGACTTCCTATTAGGATTTGAATTATTTTTTAATTCATAATTTGCGTTTATTAAGTTAAACATTACCTGTAACTTTTTCCCTTAGCGTTTCTTATAAAATAAAAAATGTGGAACAGATTGCTTAAAAATCTTAACTAAAATGAAGATGAATATGAATACTCTGCCCACAGAAGAAGCATAGTTTTCAAAGACATCTAAGTGGTAGCAGCTATGTTGTGTTTTAAAAGAATTACAAGGGAAATGCCATACATTGAACTTGTTGAATATGAAAGGCAGGAAAAATTGTCATGTTTCCTGTTACTCTTTTATAAACACTGGAAACAGATTCATTGTACTAGTTGCCTTTGTTTTTAAAATTTGACCATATTAGTCTTTTGATGAAAAATTTTATTAAAATAACAAGATACTTGGAACATGCTAGAAGGGGGCTATGTATATACACTCTGGTTTTCTGTTTTTCTTTTGCCCTTTCAAAATTGACTTATGTAGCTGGATTAACACCAATGCCGATAAAGAAAAAATTCCATCCCCACTGGCAGTGGTGGCTGCCTTCTCCAAACTTCCGTCGTACACGTTTGACCTGGGTTCACACATGCCTTAAATCAGTCAGCCGGGCAGTGTCTTAAGCTCCTAAAAAAAATATAGGCTGTACATTGTACTTGTTACACCCACAGCACTCAGTATTAGACTTTGCACATAGTACAAGGCTGTCAATAAATACTAATTGGCTGAATGTTTGCTCTTTATATCTCTCCTTTTTTTTTTTTTGATAACTATCCTATCATGTAAAATATGTAGCACATATCAAGTTATGTTTAAATTTGTTCCCATTGCTATCAAAATTTATAAGGCCAGTCCTTTCAACAAAGGATGCTAGGAAAATAGAATATCCACATGCAAAAGAATGAGGCTGGACTGTTACCTTACACCATATACAAAAATTAACTAAAAATGCATCATGTATATAAACTTAAAAGCTAAAACTATAAAACTTTTAGAAGAAAATATAATATAGAGAAAAGTCTAATGATGTTGAATTTGGCAACTGTTTCTCAAATGTAACATCAAAAGGTTAGGCAACAAAAGAAAAAAAGTGAGCTCTGGCTGGTGTGGCTCAGTGAATTGAGCTCCAGCCAGCCTGTAAACTGAAAGGTTGCTGGTTTGATTCCCAGTCAGGGCACATGCCTGGGTTGCGGACCAGGTGCCCAGTTGGGGGCATGCAAGAGGCTGCCAATCCATGTACCTCTCACACACCGATGTTTCTCTCCCTCTCTTTCTCCCTCCCTTCTCTCTCTAAAAGTAAATAAAATTTTTTAATAAAAAAATTGATTAATTGAACTTTACTAATATTAAAACCTTGTGCATCAAAGGCACTATCAAGAGAATGAAAAGACAACCCACAGAATGAGAGAAAGTGTTACAAATCATATATCTGTTGAGGGTTTAATAACGAGAATGTTTGAAGAACTCGTATAACTCAACAATAAAACCACATTAAAAATGAGCAAAGGACTTGAATGGATATTTTTCCAAAGATTAATTCATATAAATGGCCAATAAGCTCATGGAAAGATTCTCAACATCATTAATCATTGGGAAAATGCAAGTCAAAACTATAAGGAAATACCCCTTCACACACATTAGGATGGCTGGGTTGTTTTGTTTTGTTTTGTTTTGTTTTGTTTTAGGAAAATAACAAGCATTGGTGAGGATGTGGAGAAATTGCAACCCTTGTAGATTGCTGGTGGGAATGTAAAGTAATTCAGCTGCTGTGAGAATTTGGTACTTCTCAAAAATTTAAACATAGAATTACCTTATGACCCTTCTCTAATTTCAGTCTTACATAAATATCCAAAAGAACTGAAAATTGTGACTCAAATGTAAGTACAGATATGTATGCCACACGTTCAGCAGCATTATTCATATTATCAGAAAGGTAGAAGCAGATAGATGGATAAATGAAATACAGTATATTTATACATATGTAATGTGATATTATTCAGTCATAAAAGGAATGAAGTGCTGATACATGCAACAATACAATAAACTTTGTGAAAACCTTGTTAGGCAAAATAAGCCAGACATAGAAACACAAATATTGTATGATTCCACTTGCGCGAACTCTCCAGAAGAGTCAAATTCATAGAGACAAAAAACACGTGAGAGGTTGCCGTGTGTGGGGGAAATGAGAAGTTGGTGTGTGGTGGATGCAGAGTTTCCATCTGGGTGATGGGAAATCCTGGAAATAGTGATGCTGGCTGCACAGCCTTGTGAGTGCATTTAGTGCCCCTGAACTGTGTATTTAAAAAGGGTCAAATGTATGGGACACACTCATAAAAAGTCAGTACTCCCTGAGATTGAAAGACCTGATGTAGAATGTGTTGGCTTGTTTCTTATAGTTTATCATTAATAATTTTGATTACATATGTGTGGTTTTTTTTCTGGGGAATGTCTTGCTTGATTAAAAACCCATAAGTTGTTTAAAGTTTTTATTTAATTTGTACTTTGTAAATTAAAATGTCTTTACAGCCTTTACTATCATTATAAGTATATTGAGTCAGTGAAATCATTAAAATGTGTAGGACTTCTAATTACAAGATAAAAGCCAGGGTCAACCTCAGTTTTAACTTGTTCACACGGGTATTTGGAGCACATTGAAGTGAATTATTTTATGTTACTTATCAGGAGGTTACCTTTTTTCAGTTTGCATCTTTTTGATCCTCCACAGTTGGGCTGTATCACCATAGCAAGGCTTCATACGTTTTCTTTTCATTCAGAATCCCAGTGATAGTTACACACACCCAAGTGCTGGGGAGTCCGAGGGAGCAGTGCTCGTCTCTGCCCTCGCGGAGCTGTACCTGGTAGTCAGGGAGTAATTGTCATGGGAAAATGAAGATGTAAGTATTATGGAAAATTAGATATGTGTAAATATTTAAACAAAATTTGGTAAGTGCTATGAAGGAGAAATCTACTATAACATAACACAAATGTTTCCTATCTGTGATTCAGTTAAAGTCTCAGGAAAACAAGGAGTACAGTGGGGTAGGGGGAGTAACAGCAGGGCGGGGGAGAAGAGCACTGTGTGATGATTTTCAGAGAGCATCACCTTAAAAGTGTTTTTGTTTGTTAAGTTAATGGTTTTGTTTTTTTAAATTGTACTAAAGTATACATGACATGAAGTTTACCATTTTAACCATTTTTAAGTGCACAGCAACATCCTGGCATTAATTAATTCATGATGTTGCATAACCATTGCCAGTATTGATTTCCAGAACTTTCTTGTCATCCCAGACAGAAACTCTGTGCCCTTTAATCAATAACTCCTCATTCCCTCCTCTCTCCAGCCCCTGGTAGCCTCTGCTGTACTCTCTGTCTGTGAATTTGCCTACTCCAGCCAGATATGCATGGAAATGAACTCGGACATCTGTCTTTCTGTTTCTGGCTTATTTTACTTAGTGTATGTTTCCAAGTTTCATCCTTGTTGTAGCATGTATCAGAACTTCATTCCTTCCAAGGCTGTTTTAAAGTTGACCTCCAGGAGTCTTGACCAGTGTGGCTTAGTTGGTTGAGCATTTTCCCACAAAGCCAAAGGTCACTGGTTCTGTCCCTGGGCAGGGCACAGCCTTGGTTGCAGCTTTGGTTCCTAGTTGGGGGCATGCAAGAGGCAACTGGTCAGTGTTTCTCTCCCTCTCTTTCACCCTCCTTTCCCCTCAAGTAAATAAATAAATATTTAGAAAACTAGAAGCAAATTTTCCTTTTTATCTGTAAAACAATTCTATAAAAGTCTGATGATTTTATTAGAATTGGTGTGATTGTTATTTAAACATTGCTGTAAGAACCCTGAATTTCTCAGTGGTTTTACACTTATCCTCCAAACTTACGCCTTCAACCTCTGATTCATGTTTGTAGTTGGAACATTTAATTGAAAAGTAATTTTGTTTTTAAAGATTATTAACATACTGAAAATACAAAACTACCGAAATTTCTCAGTAGTCATTATTTATGTATAAAAAATTCTATCTCCAGATTTTTACCATTAAAATTATGATTCCCTACATAGAAAAGCAAGATGCTGCTGATTTGCTTGTGAATCCACTTGACAAAACTTTTTAAAATTCTCCCAAAAATCTTTGAATAAAATGAAGAGTCCAGGAAGTTTCTCTCTTGGCATTGCATATTTTGTGCATATTGAAAACTCCAGTCAAGAAGCAGGGACTTCAGAGTAGTAGATGGTTTTTAGAAGAACTTTCTGAGTTATTCCTTGACTAAATACCACTTGTCTTTCTTTTGCAGTGAGGAAGCCAGTCATTTCTTCCCCTTAATTAAACGTAGGCTGACAGTTTTTAGTGTTCCGCGGTTGTGTTTTGTTATTTTGTTTTGATTGTGTAAGAATTATAAAGTTGTTTTGTAAGAACCATGAAATTATAGTACTTCAGTATCTAATTTGAGATAACTGGCTAAATAAACTTCTGTGTCTGGAATACAGTGTGTTTTGGGGGACCTGCTAGGATGACTCTATTTCCTTTTTACATATTTGCTTAAAAAGTAGAATACTGACTTGTGATCACCATTCTTGTGCCTTGCTAACATGGGAAAACATGAGCAGAATTAAAATATAATAATGCGTCAATTGAATCTAAGGCATTATGTAGCTCTTGATTTCAGTGCATTATTACTTCCCTTTAACTTTAAGGAAACTTGTCATGAGTGTGAATCACATGGTTGCTTCTAGAACTCTTGAACATTTGACTTGACTTAAAATTTAGGGTTTAAGAGAAGTTCATGTTTTAAATAAAATGTTGCAATTAACTTTTCTTCCTCCTTTCTGTTATGGAAAAATTTAAGCACAAAGAATTACATAGTTAATTCAATATATTGTTCGCCAACTTCAGCTAATATTAACTCCTGGTTAGCACTGTTTTAACTGGACCACTCTGCTCTCAGTATATATTCGATTGCATCACAGTTCATCTGTAAATATCAACTGTGGGACTTTTGAAAACATTACCACGCCTAAGAGAAATTAGGAATAGTCTCTTCAAATCAGTTAACCAGTTAGTGTTCAAATTTGTTTTGGTTGTATTTATTTCTTCATTTTTCTTTTCAAATTTGTTATTGAAACTGGGTTGCTTGTTGAGTACAATTTCCCACAGCCTGGGTTGTACTCTTACTGATTGTATTCCAGTTGGTGTAGTTTAAATATGTTTCTATGTTCCCTCTATTTTTGGTGAGTTGATAGATTGAGAGGCTCGAAAAAAATTTCTTTTTGATAAGAATGTACTTCAGAGTCTTATATATTTCTATCAGAAGGTACAATAGTGTCTGGTTGTCTTTTTTTGTATGTGATATTAGCAGCATTATTATATAAGTTCATTATTAGGGATTATAAAATGAGGGTATGCCAATTATTATATCATTATTTCTTTAGTTATTGACTGAAATACTTTTATAAAGAGAAACTTATCCTTTTTAGTAATTAGATTACCTTGAGGTATCTTTCATATAGGTAAGACAGGATAAATATTTGATCTTTCTCTTGATGTACCAGTTTCACAATAGTAAGTTGGTTTTCTAACCTCCTCCAGAGTTGACTGGCATCAAGTTTTCTTGTTTAGCAAAGTATGATTTGTACTTTATTCCTGTGTCTGTCTCAGTACAGGTCTCTTGTCCCTCCCTTCTCTTTGTGTTTAGCTAGCTATGGCCTTATTCTTGTCTCAGAACTCTGGTTTCACGTGGGGGTAACGCAGTTTCACTTGGATCAGTGATTCCACACACTGGAATGGGACACTGCGAACACAGAATGTTTGGATTTGATACCATTCCTTGGGGATCCTTTTCACGGCATTCGTAGGACACCCATAGGACAGAGCAACCAGAAGAGCCTGAAGTTGCTTCCAGAGCTAGCAGTTGCCTTTTTCATTCACTGGGACTCAGGGCAGAGAAGGACGGCTCAAACTTGAGAATTTTCCGAGACTATATGACTCTTGCACTATTGCCTGAGCTGTATTTGAGCCATGTAAGTTTAAACCAGGTTCCTGATTCTTTCACCTTTGTTTTCAACCCTTACATCCTAAGTTGGTTGGGAAAAAAAACTCTCTTCAAAAACAAGAATCCAAAAAGAGACTAAAAACATGAGTCAATGTCCTGAGGAAATATAAACATTTTTCCTGTGGTCAAAATTTACCCATCCTAATGCTGAGTTTTCAAGGGGCTTCCTGACCACAATTTGTTAAAACTTTTAACTCTGCACAAAAAAAAAGTTCTGGGATTAAAGCAACATCCTCAATACCGGGAGATTTCCTAGAAAATATTTGTCTAATAGCCATGCTAGTGAATGCTCATTACCAAACCACTTGAATATTTGAAAAGGGGGTGGAGGGAAATGACAAAAATAGTAGAATATCAGTAGAAATGCTAAAGAACTAACATTTAATTTAGTGTCTACAATACACTACAAATTGTCTGACAGTTTTATGTATTTTATCTTGCCTAGCTGCATAGGTCAGTATTAGGGCCAAGATTCAAACTCACATACTCCTGATTATGTACTATACTATATGCTGTTCTCCCTAATACATCTTTTTTTTTTAATTTAAGATTTTATTTATTTATTTTTAGAGATAGGGGAAGGGAGGGAGAGAGAGGGAGAGAAACATCATCAGTTGCCTTTCTCATGCCTCCAACTGGGGACCCAGCTCACAACCCAGGCATGTGCCCTGACTAGAAATCGAACAGGCAACCTTTTGGTTCACCGGCCGGCACCCAATCCACTAATCCATGGAAGCCAGAGCCCTAATACATACATATTAACATGTTTTTGATGATATAGAAAAATATAGATTTGATGTGTTTAGTGTCACTATGTTGACAACAGAATCTCATATGAGTATGTTGGTTTTTCACATAGGGTGTCGGTACAGCAATCGGAGAACTGCCTCCATATTTTATGGCCAGAGCAGCTCGACTCTCGGGTGCTGAACCAGATGATGAAGAGTATCAAGAATTTGAAGAGATGCTGGAACATGCAGAGACTGCACAAGTAAGAACAGTGGGGGGAAGTAGATAGAATAATTATCTCTAAAGAGCTTATGATTAAGGTGACATTGTTCATTGTTACTCTGAGGAGGAAACTGCTAGTGTAAAAACAAAATGATACATAGTTTGGGATAGAATAGTCAGAAAAGCTGAAACATGAAAACAATGATAATCTTGATCTTAGAATAGAGAAATAGAGAGATTCAAATGAGACAACTCAGACTCAGCTAAAATACCTTGCCAGAAAACCATGGTAAATTCATGTTGCCAGTGAGATTAAGGAGCTGAAACATTCTTTGTTCATTATGTGTTTATAAGTACAGTAACTCCTCATTTAACATTGTCAGTAGGTTCTGCAACTTTAAGCAAAGCAATTCATAATGAAACGATGTTCAATTCACACTGGAAACAGTGTTATTCGAGGACCTGCTGTTACATGGAGCAGGGGACAAAAGGGCTGTGAGTCCAAGTAGGACTTCCACACAAATGTTTTGAAAATAACGTCAACGCAGTTTACTGTGTTTAGATGAAGTTATTTGGAAACTCCTAGTTAAGCAAGAACAATTAAGAGTTATCCTTTATCAGTGAGAGGAAAAGGGTTTTTTACATTTGAGTAGAAACTCTGTATCAGCCTGTATTTTAATGTTACAAAATATGTGTTTTGGTGTCTGCAGGAAAATTCCTAGGAATATTAACTGAGTCTCCAGATTTGCTCATTAATCTATGAAGTTGTTTAAAAAATTATGTCCTTGTTGTGTTTGTAAATATATATGCCCGTGTAAGTGTGCATACATTTTTTTGAGGAATGAGTTCATATTTTTCTTCTCAGTGCAGTCTGAGACCCAAAAAACTGTTACTATGGTGGGGTAGGGTCTAGAAGCCCATTTTAATGACAGATGAAGTTTTTTGTTTGTTTGTTTGTTTTTTTAATAATTTATCTATTTTCAGAGAGAGGGAGAGAAACCTCTATCAGTTGCCTCCCAAATGCCCCCCAGCGGGGACCTGGCCCGCGACCCAGGCCTATGCCCTGACGGAATCACACCACAACCTCGCGGTTCACAGGCCGGCGCTCAGTCCACTGAGCCACACCAGCCAAGGCGATAGATGAGCTTATTTAAAAAGTTTTATTAAAAGCTTGGAAGTTAACCAAGAATAAATATAGTTTTCAATTGAAAACAAATTTTCAAATATAACTGTGTAACTTCTGAATATAAAGCAAATGAACCAACGAGCCACAGACAGACGTCTGCCCGTGTGGCTGTCTGTCCTCGTGTCAGCCGTGCCTGCTCCATCGGCAGCACCATCTGCCTCCCTCACGTCCTAGTGCTCATACTAAGGCCAACCATTATTTCCAACATTAACAACTTTTAATTGTTTTTAATGCCTTTTAAATTCCAGCATCAGATTTGACCCTGAGTTTGCTCTGAGGTAGTGTGGAAAATGTACCTTTCTTCAAATGTTACAGAAAACTGCGGATCTGGACGTTGCTCCCTCCCTAATTTTACGTGCTTAGGGGTAGAGCTGGAACCAGAGCTCAGAATGCCAGCATCACTGAAACCGTGTCCATCCGCAGACTTGGATGGCTGAGTATCCCCTCTTCTGACAAAGGACACCTCTGTCATTTGTGGCACTAATTAATGTATGTCATTTAACATCTTTTTTTTTAAGTTGCTGGGGTGTTTTTTTTAATATTTTGTTTATTTATATTTAGAGAGAGAAGGGAGGGAGATAGAGAGAGAGAGAAACATCAATGTGCGGTTGCTGGGGGTTATGGCCTGCAACCCAGGCATGTACCCTGGCTGGGAATCGAACCTGTGATGCTTTGGTTCGCAGCCCACGCTCAATCCACTGAGCTATGTCAACCAGGGCCTCATTTAACATCTTAAAAACTTTTTTGCACCTATATACAGTCAGCTACTTGAACTAGAAAAAGTCTAAGATGGCCTGTAGCTTAAAATTTTTATGCTATGGCTTGGGTGCCAAACAAAGGTATAAGTACTATTCTCTGTTAAACCAACCAAAAAGCTATTATTAGTTTCCATTTTTAAGGCTTTTTGGTTTGGAATTAACTTTTTCATTTGCATAGTTTCCTCAGTCTCCTCCTTCCCTTCTACCATCTCTGTAAAGCACCTCTCGACATCACCTTCCACTTGGTAACAACTATGAAATACCTAGTATCAGTTACGTCCTTTTTTCCTTGGCACCACCATTCTGAAGTCCTCCATGCTCCTGCTCCGGCCTGGACTAGGTTACCTCCTTGGTTACCTTGGTTACCTCCTGGCTGTCTGGGCCCCCGTCTCACTCCTTCATGACTTACTCTCTCAGTTGTGTTGAACACATTCAGCAGTAGCTTCCTGAGGAAGGATGAGTAGATGGAACATTCTGAAAATGGTGTCTTCTTCATTCATGCTTAATCAGTTAACTGAATGTAGGATCTAAATTGAAAATGGTTTTTCTAACTTAGAATTCGGAAGGCATTGCTCCACCACCTTCAGGCTTCTGGTGTTGATATTGACGGGGCGAGTGTCCTGCCGAGCCCTCTTTGTGGGCTCTTTTTCCTCTAGAAGCTTTCAGATTCATTGTCTGAGGGATGGGTTGTGTTTGTTTGTTTGTTTGTTTTGTTATTTTTAGTTCTGCTAGGCACTCGGGACATTTGTCAGTCTAGAGTCCATTAGTTCTTATATTTTTTTCCCCCTGTGTCAATTTATATTCTTTAGACTCTAGTCTCAGGTTTTTGGAATTCTTACTATTTTGATGTTGGGCCTCCAACACCCAACATTTTAATTTTTTTTATCATATTGCTCCTAATATTTGTCTTTTTTTTTCCCTTTGTATGTGATTTCTGCAGCTTTATCTTCTAACTCTAATATTAAAATGTTTTTCCACTGTCATTTTTTCCCCCGAAAATTAGTTGGCATTATATTTCCAAGAAATGGTTTATCTTCTCTTTTTTGAAGGTATTTCATTACTTCAAGTTTTCTATTATTCCAGGCATTGGAGTTTTTTTTTGTTTTTGTTTGTTTTTTTGTTTGTTTTTTTGCCTGTTCCACTTCTGGTTAGAAGCTTTCCTCAATGCCTGGTGATTCATGAATAAGGCACACAAAGCTGAGTGGAAGCTGTATGTGTGGAGGCAAGGTGTCGGAGTGGCAGGCTTCCTTATCTATTGGAACCTCCATACGTCAGTTCCTATAGATCTTTCCTTTGGGATGGTTCCATTTCTGTAGTGATGGATACTAAATTTATTGCCTGGAGAATATGAATCTTGCAGCTGACATTCTGAAGTGAGGCTGTGGAAGGGAAGTTAGAGTTCTCCATTTACCATGTCAGTTTTCATTTAACCTGCTTTGTGGTCATTCTGTGGACACCTGCACAAATGTGTCCCAAGCCCAGAACCTCTGGCTCACTTTGTCCAGAGGCAGGGGTGTCTAACTCGCGGCCCATGGGCCACATACAGCCCAGGATGGCTGTGAATTCGGCCCAAAACAAAATTGTAAATTTACTTAAAATATTATGAGTTTTGGGGGGATTACGTGTTGCAATGTATTTAATGTGTGGCCCAAGACAACTCTTTTTCCCAGTGTGGCGCACAGATGCCAAAAGGTTGGACTCCCCTGGTCTAGAGACTACATGCTTGATATCTTCTCTGGGGATAAGGGAGGAAGATATCTGGCTCCGCTAAACAGGAGTGGGACCTGGGAGTCCACTTTTTGTACAGCCTCCTGTTTTCAGGCCTAACCCAGTGTCTTCTGCAGTTCCAGATTTGTGCAAATCACTTTGCTTCTCTTCCATGTCTTCCACTGCTGGCTCTCATGTATAATCTCTTCCTCCAACTGGCCCTGTCTTCACTTATTAATGCTAGTTTCATCAAAGAGAGAGTTCATGTTTCTATTGTGGGATTATTAAGATAGGGGATTGGAGGGCATTACAGATATCTATCTTTGACTAAAAACAACCCAATATTTAGTGGTTTAAAACAGCAAAGTTCATTTATATTACACACATAATGCCTTTTGGACAAATGGCTTGGCTGTAAATTGGAGGATCTACGCCCAGGGTAGTTTACTCCCATGACTGACAAGTTGATTCTGGCTTTTGGCTTGGAGTTTGTCTGGACTGTTAGTTTTGGACCTCACGTTACTATGCACGGGGCTTCTTGGGCTTTCTCATACTGTGGCACCAGAGTTCCAAGAACATGTGTTCTGAAAGAACCAAGTGGAAGCTGCATGTTTTCTTGTAACATAACCTCGGAAATCCCAGTTCTTTGCCATATTGTGTTGGCCAAAGAGATCAGTAAAGCTGGCCCAGATTCAGAGAGGGGAATTAAACTTCACCTCTCAGTGGGAGGACTAAGCAAGAATTTGCAACCATCTTTAATCTACCATAGGCAAAGGTCTTATTCTGTCATCTTGAAATGGGAAACTTTCCATAATATCGTTTTTAATAGGCTAGAACATTGACCAACTAGAGCTTCTTCGAAGGAAAGGACTGAGAGTGTAAATGATCTTAAAATCATGTAATTTGAGGAACTCTTGAAAAGAAGTTAGACATTTCCTTAAAAAGGTGAAGTGATAAGCATGTAAAATATACAAAAACTTATCTTTCCTGTAGCAAGAGAATATACTCACACTGACAAATTCCAGAGGTAAGCTTTGTCTTAGAATTGATGGCTAAAAGTTTTCTGAGATCCACGTTGACTCAATGTTAAAAAGGAACTTTGTATTAATTTTAATTGTATACAAATAATATTGCTATTTCAAAAAGAATGAGTGACTTGTCTCTCTAGGTGGTGTCTTTCATGGATCCATGCATAGTACTCCCTGTATTGGATACAGCATCTGCTGGGTGATTCACTTCATTATTTGTAGGTTTTTGAGTCTGGGAGTATAAACAATATATTCTATAAACTTGTTAACATCCAAAACCTCAACTTCCAAAAACTAAGATCTTCTAGAATTGGATGAAGTAAATTATACTTCATTTTATACATATAATTTGAGCTCTTGA